TGTGGTGCACCCTTAGGCGAATGGCCAAACGAAAGTTACGAACAGGGCTATCCTTTGAAGACTGAAAGCGCGCCTGGGCCGAGCTAAGGGACTGTGGACAGACGAGCTGCCTAGTGTACTTTGGGCCTACCGTACCACGGAAAGGACTGCCACGGGAGAAACTCCCTTTAACCTTACATACGGCACTGAAGCAGTCATCCCAGCTGAGATTGAAGTCCCCTTGCTGAGATTAGAAGCATATGAAGGCAGAGCAAACGAGGATGAGCTACGTACCAACCTCGACCTGCTAGACAAAGTACGGGACCTCGCGTACATCAAGACCGCGACTTATCAACAAAGGATAGCTCGGTACTATAACACCAATGTCAAAAAGCGAACTCTCCGCGTTGGCGACCTGGTTCTCCGCAAGGTTATGACACCTGAGTCCGGCGTTGGCAAGCTCGGTTCGAACTGGGAAGGGCCCTACCGAGTAAAGCGAGTACTCGGGGAAGGAACAGATGAACTCGAAACCCTAGAAGGGAAACAAGTACCTTGGGCGTGGAATATCGTCAACCTAAGACTATATTACCCGTGAACCACCGAACTGAGTGAACCACGAGTCACTCCCTTCTAGCCTTAGGGCCAATCTGTCGAACTAGCGACAACCTCGGCAACACGAGGTCCAGTCACCCCCTCAGCAGGGGCAGACTCCAGGAAAACAGTTTGGAGTGACCACGAGTTACCCCCTCCAGCCTAAGGGTCAACGCGCTAGGTTAACCGAAGACCACAGCACTATGCATGACTCTACCGCCTCGCCAGCATAGGCTTAGCATGCCAAAGACCAAAGGTGTCTCGAGAACAAACTTTCTGACTCCTAGCCTACCTCGGTATACGTTACTAGAGGTAAACACCAACACAAATAGCCAAGCAGGCAGGTCGGGCACGCGCCTTACTATGCCTACCTCGGCGTACGTTGCTAAAACCTGATGATCACCCCTACTAAGTGCAGGAAGACAGTTCGGGGTGACAGCGGTAAAGGGTCGCTCACCTCAGGGACTGAATTTACTAACTCAACAGCTCGGATAAGGCAAACACTCTGGCAGAAGTGAATCACACAAGCGCTTAACAGAATATGCATATATACTCTCATTGCATAAGTGTAAATTTCATTATAGAATCCCAAGTACGAAGAAACAAGAAAAGAAAATACAAGTAGCACACAACTATTTGGAAGGCTTATCAGCCTTACTCGGGGCCTCTTCGGGGGCCTCCTCGGGGGTGTCAACCAAGTCGGTGGTATCGGCCTCCTCATTGCCGCCCTCATCGTCAGAGTCTGAGTCATCCGCGGCCTGACGGGCCATGTCATCTGTAATGTTATAGGTGGTGAAGGCACTTATGTCAAGGTCAGGGTATGTGCGCCTTATCCACCACTTGCCGAGCTTAAACCCCCTACGGTAGGGCTGCGACATAATGTTGTCAAACCTAGACGACTTGACATAGTCGATGACGGCCTGGACCTTCGCCTCCCCGAGAGCTCCGTCGAAGATCTCGGTCTTCTCCTTGATGTTGGCTTTGAGGTACTCCACCTCGTGCTCCAAGGCCCCCTTGGCTTCCTTAAGCCCCTGCACCTCGAGCTGCGAATCCCTCTGGCCGTTCACCTTGGCCTTCAGCCTATCCCTCTCACGACCCAACTCGCCCTTCTCTAACAGCAGGGCTTCGATAAAGCTCTTTTGGGCGGTAGCATCACTCTCCAACTGGTGAATCTTGCCCTGAGCTGCCCTCAGCTCAGTGTGAGCCGCGCGAGATGACTCCTCAGCAGCCAAAGCACGCCTCAAGTGTTTGTCGGACTGAAAGGTCAGCGCGTGCACAACAGTGTTCACCTGGCAGAAGGAGGTTGGTCGGTACTAAAGAAAGAAGAAAGAAAGAAAGGAGAGAGAGAGGTGACTCTTAGGGAGTGAACTCACAACCATGGTGTGGGTTGCAGCGTGGGCCCCGAGCTGACCAGGGGAGAGTTCGACCCAATCTACAACCTCCGCAGTGATAACATCCCTCTTACTTCTTTCAAGACTAATATCGGGATTCATGATGCTCTCTTCCTCCTCCTGAGTCCCCAAGCTGGATGCCGCCGTATCTGCAGCACGATGAGCCGATCCTTCAGAAACCTCGGCAGTAGCCCTAGCAGGATTTGGGACTTCAGCGGCAGCCCCGGCTGGCTCAGCGATCGACTCTGCCACCATGTCAGGCCCCCGAGTTGGTAAATCCCCCTCCAAGTCTATCACTGGAGGGGCATCAGGGAGATCGGGCCCCGAAGAGGGGACCTACGGAAGATCAGGTTCGGGGGTAGGGGTCCTTGGGGATTCCGCGCGTGCCCTCTTGGCAGTCCGTTTCTTCCTCTTCCTCATTTGACGGAGGAGCCTCGGACTGGTAATCCTCTCTTCCTCCATGGTACCTGCAATAGAGCTCGACGTCAGTAAGCCCGAAGACACTAGGCTGATTAAGCAAAACACTAAAGTAGAAATTGACCTACCCGGGCTCAAACCGGCCTGAATGAGCTTCACTTCAACAATGTAGTCCCTGTGATCGAACCCGGCCTGAGCCCATGAATGAAAGGTTTCCCACGTCTTCCGGTTAAGAGCAATGCTGGGAGCTTGAGTGGCCACCCTCCAGTTGGTAAGGAAAGGCCACTCCGTGCTGCTCCGGACTACAAAGTAGTCCCGTTTCCAGACCGGGATCTTGCTTGAGAACTTATGCAGTATTTTGAAACCCGGGCGAGGGGACAGATAGTAGGTCTGCCCATGCTCGGGGGGAGCGCCAAAGGCACTATATTTTATTAACTAGATGGAACAAAGGATATCTGCGTCTAAAGGGAAGTTACGTTCGGAACAGAGGGAGATGGTCCCGACCAAGTTCCGAATAGAGTTGGGGTGGAGTTGGTCCAGCGTGATGCTAAAGCGCCTCAACACCTCGGGAATAAGATGGTGGAGAGGGAGACGAAGCCCGCCAACATGTTGTTCCCTAAAGATCACGATCTCATCTGGACCGTGCTCCCAAGGGAAGTTGCCGGTGGGAAGACTGTACGAATACTCCTGTGGTAGGTTGAACTGTCGGATGAGGTCCTGAAGCCTCTCCAGCGTCATAACAGATGGACCAAACTGGTCCGGCGCCCGACCTCGATGAGAGGTAGACGCCAGTTTACCCGAGGTCACCCGAGTCTCGTGGGAAGGCCGGGCAACGGCAGGGTCACCCTGACCCGAGGTACCCACCTCGGGTTCGTCTAAAAGACTGTCCCCGCTAGACATGGAAGGGAATGAACTGGAAGAACAGGAGAAAAGGAAGCTCGGGGACTCACCAGAAAAAAGACGCAACTGAACTAGAAGACCCGAGCTGAAGACTCCAAACGCGAGCTCAAGGCAGACGAAAGATACTTAGTGGCAAAAGAAAATGACCAGGCCCCCCCGTTATTTATAGCCGTTGGGCCCGGGCACTGACGACCACGATTGAAGCGATCTAACGGTTCTCAAGAAAACCGGCTGTAAGACTCGATGCGAATTTTTTTGCATCTGCGAAGTCCAGATCGCGTGACGTTTGCGCGTATGTTGTACGCAACCCAGGTTTTTTCCTTCTGAACGAACCGGGCACCAGACCGGTCTAGCCAAGTGAGTTGCCCGACAGGGTGGCATGAGTACCGAGCCAAATCCACCCGTCTCTAAAAAGCATGGTACGTCAGTCAAGTCCGTACTTAGCGATAGTACTCCGTAGCAACAACCTGCGCCTGCCACACCTGCCCTGGCAGTAACGGCTAGGGCATTGGCGGTTATGCCAAGTACGACCGAGCTCCGACATAAAAGAACCCCAACTCTCACGAAGTAAAGGTATTGAAGCTTAAGCACTTTGAGCACTCTTACTCTCTATTCTCTTCGAGATTTTCTCCAGTTCTAACTTAGCCATCAGAGTGTTCCCATCGGGATAACTCCCTGGGAATCCTTCACTTTCTCCTTCCTCTCAGGTGCCGTTCGTTCCAGTCAGAAGCCACGTCACAGCCAGATAGGAGTGCCAGATTGCGGAGCATCAATAATGTTTGGGGTGTACTTGAATTTACCCAACCAATTGAATCTCAATTTAAATTTAGACGAATAGATAGCATTTGGAAAATTGCAATCCCAAATCCTAATAACGTTAATTTAAAGTCCATTTGAATTTAGAAATCTTTACATCAATAAAATTTTAACGTTAATTGATAAAAAATTAAAATTCATAAACAAATATTTCACCTAGAAATATTGCTTGGTCTGACTTAAACATACCCAAATCAATTGATTATAATTTGAATTTAGACAAATAAATACCTTTTGTATTTTGCAATCTTAAATCCTAATTATATTAACTTAAAATCTATTTAAATTTAATAATTATCATGTCAATAAAACTTTAAAATTAACTAGTAGAAATTTAAATTTTATAAACAAACAATTCACCTAAAAGTATTGCTTGGATTGTACTTGAACCTAACGACATGCCCTAAATTTGCAAATTGATCAATTATGAATGTCATAGGCCATAAGGCTCCTGGCTTGTACTTGATTAATTTCTCTGAATATATTATATATTATAAATTATTTTTCGTAGGAATATTATAAATTATTTTATTCTATATATTATATCATACCACATATTTTATTTTTTTATATATAACCGAGTATTAGGAATATGTATCTGCGTCAAATAAAACCGGGTATTAGATATCGAATACCCTAAAGTCAAAACCCCTATGGCTCAATTTGGAAGGAGTATAAGAACAAATAGGCACAGTACAAAATCTTGTATTTTGTATGTATTTATATATTTGTATTTATGGCTCAATTTGAAGAACTACAAATACAAATATTTACTATGCAAATGCATATAAAATGATACAAAATACAAGTCTTTATACTCTACAAATTTGCATTTGTACTCCTTCCAAACATGGCCTATAAGTGTTTTACTCTAAAATCCGTCCCAAACCGAGATTTTGATAAATGGGCCTCTTAAGGTTGGGACGGGTCGGATACCCGAAAATCACATCGTCTGTACCCGTTGATGATACTTGGTATCGCTAGCAGTAGCACTAGGTCAAAGCTCTCTGTGCTCTGCTCACTGCTTCTCTAATCTCTAATCACTATTGATAATCGATGTACTAGGTCAATCCTGACTCAGTTCTATCCGCTGTGACTCGGCTTTTTGCACGATGCAAAGCTATATCTGCAATGCGCCATGGAATAACATTGTCTTCTGCTCTCCTCAGAACTTCATCCCGAATCGAAAACCTCCTCCTTGTGGCATCCGTCTCCAAAACCCTCACCGAGTCCGGCACTCGGAACCTCGATGGCGATTCCATCCCACTCTGCGAATCTCTCGTCCTCCAAGTCCTCCGAAGAAGCTCTCTCGATCTCTTTAAGAGGATCGATTTTTTTAGGTGGGCTTCTCGCAGGCCTGGCTACAAACACTCTTTCCGCGTCTATTCTCAGATCTTTCAGGCAGTCTGTCAAACTGGGCACCTCGACGAGCTCCGTCCTCTTTTGTCTTTGATGAAGGAGGATGGTGTGGTTGTTGATTCTGCGACTTTCAAGCTCTTGCTTGATGCTTTTATCCGATCATATAGGTTTGATTCGGCTATTGAAATATTGGATCTCATGGAAGAACAAGGAACTGGCTTGAATCCCCGCATTTATAACTCTGTTATTGTTGCGCTGCTTAGAAAAAACCAGTTGGATCTTGCTCTTTCTATGTTTTACAAGCTTATTGAAGCTCTGAGTGGCGACAATGGCATCGCTCTTGATGCACTCGCCTGTAACGAATTGCTAGTTGCTCTGAGGAAAGCAGACAGGAAGGCGGAATTCAAAAGGACTTTTGAGAAATTGAGATCTAAGGGGTTTGGTTTGGATGCATGGGGCTATAATATTTGTATTCATGCATTCGGGTGCTGGGGTGATTTGGCTACTTCTCTTAAACTTTTCAAAGAGATGAAACAAAAGATTTCGAAGTCAGGTTTCTCTGGCCCGGACTTGTGCACTTATAACAGCTTAATACATGTGCTCTGCTCAGTTGGGAAAGTGAAAGACGCATTAATTGTTTGGGAGGAGTTGAAAGGGTCTGGTCATGAGCCTGACGCTTTCACTTATCGGATTCTCATCCAAGGTTGTTGCAAATCATATAGAATGGACGATGCAACAAGAATTTTCAGTGACATGCAGCACAGTGGATTCCATCCTGATACTGTTGTTTATAATTCTCTTCTCGATGGTTTGCTCAAAGCAAGGAAAGTGTCAGAAGCCTGCCACTTGTTTGAAAAAATGGTTCAGGATGGGGTAAAGGCTTCATGTTGGTCTTACAATATTCTGATTGACGGGCTATTTAAAAATGGAAGGGCTTTGGCTGCTTACACTCTTTTCTCTGACTTGAAAAAGAAGGGCCCACTTGTGGATGGTGTCACTTACAGCATCGTTGTGCTGCATCTCTGTAGGGAGGGTCATCTTGATGATGCATTACAGTTAGTGGAGGAAATGGAAGCCAGAGGCTTTGTTGTGGATCTGGTTACAATAACGTCAGTCTTGATTGGTCTTCATAAACAAGGGAGGTGGGATTGGGCAGAGAGGCTCATGAAACACGTAAGGGATGTTACACTAGTGCCAAATGTTATCAAATGGAGGTATAATATGGAGGCTTCAATGAGAGACCCACAGAACAGACAAAAGGATTTCACGCCAATGTTTCCATCTGAAGGCAGTATTAGTGAGATCATGAGTTTCATAGCTTCATTATCCAAGGATGCAGATATTGATTCACAAATTGATTCTGAAAATGGGAGATCACAAAGTGAAGATGAAACTTCTTCTAGCATTGATCACTGGTCATCATCTCCTTACGTAGATCAACTTGCCAATGAAGTAAAGTCTACCAACTACTCTCGGTTATTTTCAATGTCTAAGGGAAGACGGGTGCAAGGGAAAAGCAATGATTCATTTGATATTGATATGATCAATACATACCTGTCAGTTTTTTTGGCCAAGGGGAAGTTGAGCTTTGCCTGCAAGTTGTTTGAGATCTTCACTGAAATGGGTGTTAATCCTATCAGTTACACTTATAATTCCATTATGTGTTCCTTTGTGAAAAAGGGCTATTTTAGTGAGGCATGGGGTGTGCTCCATGAAATGGGCAAGAAGCTTTGCCCTGCTGATATTGCAACATATAATGTGATAATCCAAGGCTTGGGAAAGATGGGAAGAGCAGATCTTGCCAGTATTGTTCTTAATCAATTGATGGGCCATGGTGGTTATCTTGACATTGTTATGTACAACACATTGATTCATGCACTGGGGAAGGGTGGTCACATTGATGAAGCTAACAGGTTATTTGAGCAGATGATGAAAAGTGGGGTTAATCCAGACATTGTCACTTTCAATACACTCATTGAGATTCATGTCAAGGCAGGTCAACTGAAAGAAGCATACAAATTTTTGAAAATGATGCTGGATGCTGGATGCTCCCCTAACCATGTCACTGACACAACTTTGGATTTCTTGGAGAAGGAGATTGAGAAACTGAGATACCAAAAGGCATCGATCAAACCCAACAATAAGGAAGATGCTATTTGAAGAACAAACTTCAGGGTTTATGGATTACAAGTGAGTGGTTTTCTTCTTTTTGAAATTCGGGTTTTGCTGAATCAAATTTAAAAGTGTAATCCCATTCAATCCTATTGGGAGGTTTGCTAAAATAAATCCATCAAAACAGGTGATTGCAGAATGAGTGAATAGAGTATGCTGTGTGTTTAGGGTTCTGAACATTAAAATGATGGGAGAGGATTGTTCTTGATTATGTTTCATGTTAGAGCCATTAGAAATTTTAGAGAAGAAATGATGGGGTCTAACTAGAAATTCAGAACTTTGCCTTGAGGCCCTTAACTTTTTGTTTTATTGGGGGGAGGTTGGTGAAATTTTCATTTTTCTAAGTTGGTGTGTATCATGTGTCTGAAACTCCTCTTCATGCTTGGATCGTTCAGACTTTATGGAGCATTTCTTGTTTGTTGAGATTTATTAATCAGCAGAGGAGAATAGTACAATGTCCCAAGGAGAGGCACGAGATGCAACCTCTCCTTGTTAGTTAAGTACAGCTTCTACTATATTATAACAACTTACAAAATAGCACAAAAAAGGACCTCCCTGGATACCCCCTGTTTAGCCAGAGAATCAGCCATAGTATTAGCTGACCTACTTACCCATTTTACCTCAAATCTCATGTTCCTAGTTAACCACTTTACTCTTTTGATGAGTTCTTTGTGGCCCCAAATGGTAGCATCCGGGTTAAGCAGCCCATTTCTTGTTTGTTGAAACTTGTCATGGGAAGATTAGGACAAGCATGAATCTCTGTTGAAGTGGGCCACTTGAATTAGATTCTAATGGGTGTATTACCAAGAAAAAAAGGAATTAGATTTCAATGGGTGCAGTCTTAGCATTCAGTGGATACTCATTTGAGTTACATATCAGAGGAGGGAAGGACTTGTTCACCTTGCATTCTTACTAGGGTAGCCTCTATGTCTGGCATAGGGCATGATAATCGGTGGTAGAAGTACCAATTGTTAACCTGGAGATGCTTGCATTGAAATGATCCACCTCCTTATGCTTGTTCTGATTTTTTTTATCTACTTGATGCTTCTCTGGTAGGGATGTTTCTCAACATAAATCCATCAGAACAAGTGGTTGCGGAATGGGTAAATAGTGTATGCTGTGCGCTTAAGGCTGTGAGCATTGAAATGATGGGGGAGATTTGTTCTTGTTTATGTTTCATAGTAGATGCATTAAAAGTTTTAGATGGGGAATGATGGGCGCTACCTAGAAATCCAGAATATTGCATTAACATTTTGTTTTGTTGGTGGGAGGTTGGTGAATTGGTCATTTTTTTCTAAATTGGTGTGGATTGTGGTGTCTGAAATTCCTCTTCATGCTTGGAGCTTTCAGACTCTGTGGGTCATTTCTTGTTTGTTGATAAGAGATACTTGTCATTGGAACATTGGGCCAAGTATGAATCCTGGTTGAAGTGGGTCACTTGAATTAGCTTTCCAATGGGTGCAGTCTTAACATTCACTGGAGATTCATTTCAGTTGCATATCATGATGGGAAGGACGGACTTGTTCACCTTTGCAGTCTAGCAGCAGGCTTTGGTTTCAGCACAGTGGTAGGTAAAAGATGATGAGATGGTATATCTCAAGGGCATTAAAGGACATGTATCTCAAAAGGTTTGGTACATAGCTAGTAATTCATGGGATATGAAGTTAAAGAGACATAAATCCTTGTTTTGTAATATGGTATTGGATTGGGATATGGACTGTTCTTCTAAGGTGAATGGTACTATGGTAGCTCTTTTGTTAAAGAAGGGTGTAGTTGTGGTGACTTGGCTGAAAGGGCCTGTAATCAAATTAAATTCTGATGTGAATTACCAAAGAAAAGAAGATGACGAAGAAGAGAATAGATGAGAAAAGAGAGAAAAGGGGTCCAATATTAGATCTATTTATATGTTAGCAAATAAAAGTCAATACAATGAAAATGCCGCTGCTACCTATATAAAAAAGAAAAGAAACAATAACACCAATATGTAACAACAATAAGTAACATAAAAACATAAGGAGGGACCACACACTAATCTATTGTATCTCTACACTCTCCCTCAAGTTGGGAATTTGGTCATTCCAACCAAGACTTTTGTGGATGTATAGCATGTTCCCTTAGAAAGATATTCCCTCTCTCCCCTGAATCTAAGCGGAATATTCCCAAAGTTGTGTTAAATTGATTCTTCACCATGGCTAGAAAAAGTTTGAACATGGAGGAAACTTTTGATTTTTGTCTAAGGAAGTGTATCCAAGTATAGCGGCTACAATCATCAACAAAAATCACAAAATATTTATAACCCAAGTGTGAAGTAATAGGAGATGAGCAAACATCACTATGTATCAACTTGAAAGGAACATCATAATGTGCAATGGAAGTAGGAAACAACAAAATATGAATTTCACTCAAACTACAAAAAATACATGATTTATTAAAATGAGCAAAAGAAGTAGCTTTAGAAGACAAACATCCAGAACAAAACAAAAGTTCAAGTTTATTAGCAAAAGGGTGGCCAAAACATTTATGCTATAAATGCCACTCATTATTTCTACAAACAAGTTCTGAACTTGGATGCAAGTAGTAGAGAGTATGCAAGATGAGTCGGGTGATGCAAGTGTCTTCTTAGACTTTAACATGAACACCCATCCAAATCTACGCCCCTTTCCCTTCACTATCCTAGTGCATTTGTCCTAAATAAGACATCCATCACGAGAAAAAGAAACAACGTTTCCATCCTCAACAAGTTGCCCAACTGAAATTAAATTAGTAGTAAGTTTAGGGACTAGAAGTATGTTATGGGCCCGGGCGTAGGATCTACGCCCCTCCCTTTGCGTGCAGACCCTATCGTGGCGACTAAGGGTGATTTGTCCAAGAGATCACCCTAACTCTCCTCAATTCTTTTCTTGACTAAAAACTGAATGCCATTATTCTCAATTCGCAACTCCTTAAATAGGAGATTACAAGAGGTGAGAGACCCCCTGTAGGAGGACTCCTTGTAGGATTCGACTACTTACAAATAAGGCTAGGATAAATCAAACTCTAAGATCAATCAAACTCCTACTTCTAATAGATAAACATACTCCAACTATTCTTCTAATAGATAAAGTAAGATAAGAGAGACTACTAAGGATAAGATAAGATAAGCTGGTGGAGCTGATAAGATAAACTGCCGCCATGTGGGCCCCTCCTTACTGCTGCTGCTGCCGGCGGCGGTACGTCCTCCCCACGAATGCATCCACAACATTACACCCCTTCTGGGCAACGGGCTTGTCCCCAAGCTCGAGATCTGGATAGGCGTCTTGAAGAACAGTCCAGGGGATCCAGGTGGCCTCAGCTGATGGTAGGTCGTCCCATTCCACTAGGACTTCGAGAGTACCTCGATTGACACGGGATCGAACAAGAGCCCAAGGCTGGAGAATGGGTCTGCCGTCCCTTAAAGGTGGTAGGGGAGGTACCTTATCAGGAGGAGTACCTGTAAATGGCTTGAGCAAGGATACATGGAAGGTATCATGTAGTTTGCTGTGCTCTGGTAGCTCGAGTTGATATGCAACTTTCCCGATCCGCCGTAAAACCTTGAAGGGCCCGTAAAATTTGGGAGCCAGCTTAGGGGAAGATCTGCTTTTGAGAGAGTGTTGCCGATAGGGTTGGAGTTTCAACCACACGAACTGTCCGGGATCGAAAGTTAATTCTCGGTGGCGCTGATTGTAGGCATTCTTCATGCGTGTCTGAGCCTGCTGTAAGCGGAGAGAGACTTCGGCTAGGAGGGTATCGCGATCTTGTAGACCACGATCGATTTCTTCCAACCGTGTTGAACCGGGTTCGTAGGACAATAGGCGGAGGGGGGGTCCCAACCATAGACGACCCAGAATGGAGTCATGCCAAGAGAAGAGTGATAGGCCGTGTTGTAACAGTATTCGGCCCATGGAAGGCAATCCACCCAACGCCGTGGCTGGTCACCCACAAAACAACGGAGGTACATCTCTATGGTATGGTTTACCACCTCTGTTTGCCCGTCTGTCTGCAGGTGGTAGGCGGAGGAAAAGGCTAGGGTTGTTCTCTACAACCGAAATAGCTCCTTCCAGAAGGTGCTAGTAAAAACCGGGTCCTTGTCACTGACGATGGATTCGGGTAGCCCATGCAAACGGAAAATATGTGTGAAGAAGACGTGGGCAACCGAAACCACGCTATATGGGTGGGACAAGGGAATGAAATGAGCATACTTGGAAAAGCGATCCACCACCACGAATAAGACCGATTTCCCGCCTACCTTGGGTAGGCCCTCAATGAAGTCCATGGAGATATCAACCCAGATCTGTGTTGGAAGTGAAAGAGGATGGAGAAGGCCCGCCGGGTGTAAGTTTTCCCATTTTTGTTGTTGGCACATAGAACAATTTTGGATGAAGTCCCGAATCGAAGCCCTCATACCATGCCAATGGAAATCGGTGTGGACGCGGTGCAATGTCTTCTGAACACCTTCATGTGTGGAGTTATGAATGCTGGAGATAACGACGGGGATTAAGGAGCAGTCGACTGGGAGATATACCCGTCCCTTGTATAGTACTAGCCCGTCGTGAATGGACCAGTTCGGGTTGGTCGTTCCGGACTTATTTTCTGAACAAGGTCCCTCCATTCCGGTGATTGGGGCAGCATGCTTCTAATGCTTTCCAATAGGGTGATGCGGGGCCGAGAGATTGCACAAAGGAGCATAGCATCTTCGTCTCGCCTGGACAGGGCATCTGCGACCCGATTTAAGGTCCCTGCCTTGTAGTCTACCCGGAAATCAAACCCTAGTAGTTTGCTCGCCCAGTGCTGTTGGGGCGGAGTGGTAAGCCGCTGCTCCAGTAGATACTTGAGGCTGTAGTGATCTATCTTGACGATGAAGGGTCTCCCCCACAAGTATGGCCTCCAGTGTTGCATGGCCTTGGCTAGTCCAATCAACTCATGCTCGTAGGTCGGTAGCTTTAGATGCCGGTCAGCTAGTTTGCGGCTAAAGAAGGCTATGGGGTGTCCTTGTTGTTGTA